GTCGTGACCATAGGAGTTCAGTCCATGTCAAGTCGGATACTCTTACTCGCTACAGATAATGAATGAAGGCTGAGTAGCACCATACAGATAGACAGATGTAGCACAGAACTTTGTACGTAAGTACATCAGTTCAGGTTGTCATACCACATCAACACACAGACGCAACTGTCAATTCAAATCCAAGAGTGATAGTGATAGCAGAAGTATTAGCAGTAATGAAGAAGATTAGGGAGCGAAGATATTCTTCGAAATGTATGATTCAGTAAGATAAATTTAGAAGGAGAAAGATAGAGATTATGAGGATTTTAGAAGGTTAGAATTTAAGAGAACACAAAGAGTGGATGTACCTGTGCCATTGCAAACGATTCTGAGCCATGTCATTCAAGGTGTCTAACCATTGGTGACTATCGTCTCGCGGATCCTAACCAGGTTGTCTACATCTACCAACATGACTCAGTCCACTTGTCAGTGACTTCATGCATCTGTGCAACGTTCTGGTTTGGACGCCCCTAATGGATAAAGGCTGAGCAGCACCATGGATCGAGTGAAGTTATATATTAACACCATAAGATGCTGACTCAGTGGTTTATAGGTTAAGCGTAAAACCGCAGGTCCTATGCTCGAATATTGCTTACGGAAGTCATGAATACACACTGCTGAGGAGTCTCATAATAAAATAAAACGGCCATCTACTGCTTCCAGGTTTCTAATGAGGGTCCGGCTTAGATCATTTAACGGTTTCAACTACGAAGAAAATTACTTTGTCAATATCATTCATAATTGGAGCATATTATATCTTTTTTGGCGGTTGAGAAGAACAGTCATTTTTATTGTTACCCACATACCTATTGATTTAAACTAACACAATGTTTTTACAGATTATTTAATCAAGACTTTTTAAGTAGCATCATCTTTTTCATTAAATATGCTTTTCATTCATTCATAATCGATAGGTCAAGGTTACAAAATAAATTTCATGGTAGTTGCTCGTAAAATAAATACTTCCATAAATCATACGTTAGCATTTGTATAATCAGATGTATGTGTTTCTAGTTAAAATTCAGATGATAAGACACAAATTACTATAAAACGCACTGATAACAAAATTATGTTGATCAACTTTTCAAGCAGATAAACAAAATAGAGCTTAATCAGTAAGTAGATGAACTGAGATTTATTGAGTTATACACACATGTACATAATAGTTCAATTATCGATTTATGATTACTCGCAATCACACTGTATTATAGTATGATAGAAGTAAAATTATTATCAGAATAGTATTCATTCACTTATCCATACGCTTTTCAGTAGTATGGGGTTTGTCTTGATTAATCAAAACGTAACATTATTTTCTTCATTCATTAGAGATGATAAAAGGTAATTTTTATTTATATATTGAATCGCTAAAGAAAATCAATGAGTTGAAATTTAAAGGTCGTGATCATAAAATTATATTTCTCAGAGACTACTGCTTTCAAGTTATTTGACATACACCTAGTTCAATGGTTAAAGTAGTTTGATAACATGCAGTAGGTCTATGGGTTTGAATCCGAAAACACCAACCTACCACGCATTCATTTACGATGTTTCATGATTTTGTTTTTCAACCGCTGGTTAGTAACTAACTAGTAATGTATACAGCTGGGATGCTTTTTAGGTAGACTGGTTATGATTAACAGTGACACTGGTTGTTACACTATAACTCAATACATCATCGTTTGGATACAGTTACCTGTCGTAAGTAGTGAGGTACGGTCGCTCTTAGGATTTTCTAGATTTCTTTGATGGTTGGTTTGTCAAGGTTGTGTAGTTTAAAATACAAGCCGATAATTTTTATCTCACTTGCTGAAATATAAGTGAATGTGTATAAGCCGAAGTGAACTAATTACGTATAGATATGACATGCCTAACTTATGAAAATGGCTTGATATGAAGTCATTGAAAACGGCCAAAACAAAGCACGGAATCAATGCATAACTTCTAAATTATGTAACGAAATGTAAGCCTTAGTGAAAAATTTGTTTTATTTCCAACAATTAGTTCTCTTTATGAATTTAAATAGCGTCAAAACAAACATCGAGTCAGAACAGTATGAATTTAGTTTGACTCGTGCTTTTTTCCAGCTGCATGTAATAATTTTCGTTGAGAAATCTCATCTAATATGAGAAATAGCAAATATTAGTGACGGAAACAGGTTGAAAAACAACTATTAGCATTACTCAATTAATTTGTCCATAAACGTCTGTCAGGTCATGGCAGAATGGAAATCGAAAACATAAATAGGTTAAATCAGTAATTATATGGAATCTAAGAGTTAATAAGATGAACTAGGTAATAATTATGATAGATTTAAAGAGATGACAAAAGTTTCGAGAACTAGGTGAATAAATAAAATATAAATGAGAGAAATGGTTTTATTGAAACAGATTAAAGAAGCAACACCTGCATAACATAATTATAATTATAATAAAACTAATAATAACGGTAGTAATAATGATAAATTTTGTGAATGTCACTGACGAATGGATAACCTTATTTCTGAACACTTAAATACTAATCTAGGTTTTGTAATCATTGCTGCTTGAATGTAGTTTTGAAAAAGTGATGAATGACAGTAAAATGGTTGTAATCAATTCATATCCAAGCTATCACATTAAATAGGGAGTGTCTAGGCTTATAGTTTCAAATTCTTTGGAAGGTGCTCAGAAATATGAATGTGTATTGATCACAACTTGTTCACCTGATGCATGTGTTTTGTCACATGCATGTGAATCGATAAATGAAGGTCTATTCTAGTATATTTTATATTATATCTGAGTGTTATATTTCAATGAGAATATGGATGTAAACAGCTGCAGAGAAACCGTGATTAGAAAAAAAACACATTATTCTGTGCCAATTATTGTATCAACTCTAGCCATACTTTATTCAAACCAGCTTTAAATCGTTTTATGACCATTTACTGGATCAATACAAAGTAGTTCTGTTTAAACTTCAACTAATCAGTGTTATCCGAGATTTGGAGCTACAAAGTTCGTCTGCATATTAAAATAATAATCGCTATTCATGATTTAAAATTCTAGGTATTAAAATTCTAGATATGCATCAACCTTATGGCAGTTATTAGATTCATGACGAGCTATATAAATCTTCATAACATTCAATTATGACTTCGACGTATTTATCACAAATAATTATTCATTGAAATCATGGAAATTTACTAGTTCTGATCTACAAAAAATATAGTCACTTTTATCAATAATGAATAGAATTAGTCGAACATTGTCAAGATCATTTAAAAGAATTACGTGGACTGGACAGCATTACTTGAACAAATGAGTGTCATTTGATTTGTTGATGAATGATATTTTGCAGCTGTGTGGTGTACAAACTCATGCTTTGTTTTTCAGATTTCTTAATTCTGGTCATTAAACATGCATGATAGGTGTTTTTATTGGTGGTTTCGAGGTTACGTGTGTGTTTGGGTTTATTTGCTTCGACTAGTTTGACTAGGTACATAAAAAATTACCGCTTTAAACAATGAGTCAAACTACTGTCCCAATGAAATCAAGTAAACTTTCAAAAAATCACAATAACGGCAAAAAGAATAATGTTTTCAGTGTCATCAGACATATGGATTCTCTTAAGTGTACACCGGTTGTAGAAAATCACCAACGGAACTGTATGATAAGATTGAATTGGATGTAGTACTTGTTCAATGTAATTACGCTAGTTGCTGAATTCCTATTACTAAAAATCCTTAACAGTCAAAACTCAATACTTAAAGGATTCAACATACCAATGTCATTGTACAAGTCAGAAATATTAAGGGCATGTCACGATAGACTTTCTCAATTACCAGGCTTGTAGAATATTATCTAAACCACAGAATTTCTCAAAATCATATTATTATTTAGATAAATAAACTATCTACTCTATCTATTCACAGAAGATTTCTTTCTTTCTAGTGGCACCAAAACTTTAATAATGGTATTCAATCTCAAACTCTAATATTATCAAGCCAGAACAAAGCATTAGCGAATACTTAATTACACTATGATCCCATTAAATGTGAGACCATAATATTAACTGCACTGAAAAGATAAGTAATAGAATCATAGCTCAAAGGAAACTAATAGAATCGATTAATGAAAAGTATGAAAATTACTTTCAGCGCATAGAGAAATGAAACCGACTGCAAATGTCAGCTTCGATATATCTTAATTAATTACTATCATTAACAGCCACGAAGTCCACATTTCTCACCTTTGTAAATTGTTCAGTGATTCAAATTCAATAAGGTGAACGTGAAATAGTATTATGATAAATACATATTCAAATCATATGGACTGTATGAATAAATGTTGTAGTTGAGAAAATTATCATTCAAATAATTCATTTTTTATAGATCTTTGTCAAAAAATTATAAGAGCAAGAACTTTGTGGCTGAATGAGGTAGATCTTTAAGGGACAACAACACAGAATCGAGTCAAATAAGTTTAGAGGTTGTCGATATTCTTTTTAACTAAAAGGTATACACATTTTTAAAGAGCTTTTTGATTTATATTCACATATTTTTTCATGGACGCATAAAAATAATAAAATGTGATGGAGGTGTGGTTCAATGGTCATAAGAGTTTTCTTTCTCTACTCATTATTTGTCAGTGAGGAAGATATTAAATTAACTTGGATGCTAAACTTACCTGGTTGAAGTAAACACAGTGTAGCTGAGTGCGACTGACAATCTCAATTTTTATTGTGTACTGAAAATTGTCAACTAATACTACAATTGTCATTAAGGTTAACTGTTACTCATGTTTCTCTGAATACGTGATCCGTACATTATACTGACAGTTTAGAATGAAAGAAATCACCTATCAATCACTTATAGCATAAAAGAAATATTAAACATGAATTGAGGCAAATGTTTAAGGGTTAAGTGAAAATATTACTTATGTAAAATACAAAGCAACAGTACTAACAATTTATACACTTACCCTGGATCATTGGAATCGGCATTAGATTCAATGACGAGTGATGTTTGTCGTTTAGTTAATGCTAATTTTGTATAAGATTCAGTTAGACTTTCTGTTGTTGTCGTTGAAGTAGTTTCCAGACATAATGCTTCACCATTATTGCTACTTGCTGTACTTGTTCCATTACTGTTCATATCACCAACAGCGGAATCATCAGAAGGACTAGCACTTGGTTTTGGACGATTGAGAGTCATTTTGAATAGTTAAAAATAGGATAATATTAAGTTCCCAAGATTACTATATAAATGAATGTATTTTGAAGAATTTACAATTCCTAGCAAGTGTGAATTTGATAACAGTTGTATTGTATAATTATGAAATCAATTGAAATCTATTTACACAACAATAGAAAGCATGGAATAACTACGCCACTAAATGGTAAATACTACGAAGCAACTAGCACGCTGTAAACTAACGCGTATTGTAATTTTTAACTACTACAAAAAGTGTTCGTATTTTGTAAAGTCAAACAAATTGATGTATTCTAATCAAAAGATAAATATAACCAATCGTTATATAGGAATTTCATTAAATGTCAAGAATTCTACAATATGACTGGTTCATAACAGATGTAGGTTAGCCAAATATACTGTATGAATAGACCAATTACAATTCATCGATAACTAAAGAATCTCAAATAGCAATGGATAATAAATTTTTAAACATTTAAAGATGAATATATTTCGTATATATTGTCATAAAATATTAAATATTTGTTAAATAATTTCTTCCAAATGGAATTTGAAACAGAGTTCAGAAATTAACAACATGAATATTTTCAAGTCTAACATACTATATATCAAAACGCTAGACAAAATTTAAGCGCCAAATTAATCAATGCGTGTTTTTATATCTATCGATTATTATAATTTAATGAATAAAGAAGAACCACTGAATGACATTAACAATAAGAGTAGTTTGTAATTTTTGAAACACTTACCCATAATATGATTAGGCTCGTAATATTTTATGTAAAACCAGAAGTGTTTCATGTTTAATCCAAAGAAACTAATAGACAAATTATTTTAAAAAAAACTTGTATTTTTATGCTGAATGCATCTATTCACATCGTTTGTCAGATCGATTCCAATTGAATGATTTTTAAAAAAAATTATTTCAAAAATATCAGATATGCATCAATGATAAATGATTTGACCTTGAAATGAGGTTCTGTAAAGGACTCGAAATTCACTAGACATGCTTACAGCACTGTGACTGAGCTAATATGTTCGGTTATGAGTTTGGCTGTTGTATTCAATAATTAGTACACTATAAACTTGAATAAAAAAGGAACAAATATTCGTAATAGTAAAACATCAGTTCACTTATTTCGTGGTTTCTGATTAGCCATTTACAACCTAACATCATACTATCAATCATTAAAATGAAACAAGTGTACATACACTATATCGAAAATATCTAGAATAACCTAAGTTGAAATGTAAAGATAAACTTACATTCAGAGATTATAACACAGAAGAATTAAAACTGTTCAAACATTCGATCATTTATATGTTAAGTAACTGAATATTCTAGAATGGGATTGAAACGAAAAACATTTCGAAATCAAAAATTAGGCTACGTAATATATAGAATAGTTGAGTAAAGCCCAGAAGTTTGCCAAATTATATATATATCCATGTATACAGTCACTCATTTATGAAAATGTTACGAGAATTAATCCGAACCACTTCATACTGAACTGATTGAGGTCAAGAGTTTTGAACACTATGCCTCATTAAAAATAATTCACAAATTGTTGTTTTTGGATTAATTTGTTATCTAGCTTCTTTAGTATAAACCATATGGTTATCTCTTGAAATTATTTTTTCATCAAGGGTTAAGGTGAATACAAAGTAAGTGAAATAATTCGTATAAGAACTAACCTAAATAAAAATTTAACATGTTTCAGCAGGAATTGTTTATTTACTACTCAGAATTTTGACCTATGTCAGATTACTTACAAAGTATGCATATACTAGTTGAGATATTGAGCTGACATTGGATTAATGAATAATTCTTGTTATTTTTTAATTGAAAAGTTACATTTTACCTATAATTTGTCATCACTTCACTGCTTCACATTACCCTTCTGTTCGTGCCGCAATATTTTGGTTTGATTCTTAGAGATACATCCATTCTGTTTTTAGATGATGAGAGAAGTCAGTGTTTAGGAATGATCATAGGCACAATGGGATAGATTCAAAAAATGATTTAGAAAATGTTTAATACCTGGATTATCTAAATTAAAAAGAACACTAATAGGTTAACTTAGACACTAAAACTACCGATTTTCGGAAGATGCAATGTTCATAGAATATTTTGGGGCAGAGTTTTGGAAGTTTGTGTTTTTACACATTTGAAATCATCAATCAATCATCGTTAGACCACCATTAAAAAAGTGGAAGCACTGGACGGCCGTTTCGTCTTGATGAGTCCCATACCAGGACAAAACGGCCGTCCAGTGCTTCCACGTTTCTAATGGTGGTCTAACAATGATTGACTGATGATTTCAAATGTTCATAGAATAACAAAAATGAATATATATAAGGGCACAAAGAAACAGAATTTATATACTTTATTTAATTGTGCATTTTATGAAACTAGTAAAATTTGAAGATAGTGTGTACTGTATTTTAATTTTCAATAATTCCAGGATTCCAACCAAATCATGTCGTAAACTGTTAATTGGCTCCAAGGTGATAGGCCTAAAGTTCGAATAAGGTGATGCAATCCACGGATTTAACAAGTTTAGGAATGGTAAAGCAACTCACCTGTGACAAGTCAGACTATATCATATAATGATTGGTATGGAAAATGTAGACTCAAATTTTAACCCAGTATGATCCTAGGAGAGTCTTAACTTTGAACAAAATAGTTTTTCAATACTTACTAGTTTTCATACCTTCCCTTAGAGATTTTGTTTTTAATATTGAAAACTTCATTTTAAGGCATATGGATTGTTACGAGTTAATTGGGTAATGTCTGCCCTAATTTATTAATTACCATTCATATAACTATACAACTTTAGTTAATGAAATCATCGAAAAAATTTTCCTCAGTTAAGTTTTCCTAATTTATATCTCAATTTTACAGAAGGTTAATGAGACAAAATATTTATTATGTAAAATTCACTTAAGATATACTTAAAAGATTTTCTATCATTAACAATATCCAATTTGGAAATGTACACGTGACATATAATGAACTCTATCTAATCAGTGAATAAATGTTCACTGATGCCTTCATTGTTAACTACTCAAATTGTTTATTTATTTAAATAAAATTTCAGATTATTAAATCAAAAAAAAAAAAATAAAATAAAATAACTTTCCTAAGAAAGAATGACATGGCAATCTTCAATACCTGAAAAGACTTGTGGAATTGATAATTTTAAAATTGATCAATTAAAAATGATTTCTTGTTGAACAGCAAAATATTAAATGAAATAAGTTAGATTTATATTATGAAAATGTTATCAATATACATTTAAATTTGGCTACGCTAAAATTTGGACACAGGTAATTTAGTGTATGCCATTTATCAATATATATTTTTCAATGTTTATAACCTATTTGATAATTTACGTTTTCAGTATTATTATCACTAGCATACATAATTGTAATGTGGTTTTGATTCAAAAAAAAACAAAATTAAATAGATCAAAATGTGTACATCAAAAACTACTGAGAATTTTATTTTGAAGGAAAGCTAATAAAGGAAACTGTCAAGCCATTAAAGTGTAATATCGGTTAACTGTCCACTGCCATAGGTAAGATACATTTATATTTTCAGTCATTTGCTGGTTCATGAGTACGCGAGTCATTATAACGTCAGAATGATGTTAGTATAGAAGAGATGCGATATGGATGGTGGTGGAATCCGGAACTCATGTTTTGAATCCGATCTCACCGAGAGAGAACACTAAATCTTAGATGCATATGCATCTAGTTTATGTCCCCCGAATGGAACAAAAGGCTCATCCTGGATTTTACTACTAACCACATTTCATCCATTTTGCCTATGTAGATGAAATTTGTCTATTCGCCAACTGAAACTGATCGAATTTCGGTTAAATGTCTCATCAAGTGATAATACTAACTACTTGATACTGATTTAAGTGACGCTAGTTAATTATAAATGTATACAGTCTTGATCCAAAGTAAATTATGTCAAAAATTATACACTTTTGCAGTAAATAATTGATTTGAGTGCATTATATAAGCTATATGACTTTAGAAATATGGTTGTATTAAAATATCAGTGACAGCATATATTCCAAAACAATAAGATTCCAGACCATGCCGTAGGTAGGGTTTCCGAATTGGGATAAATTGGCTTCCTGTCATTTTTAAACACTGGTCTACCTAGGTAAGTTGCAAATAAAAACTAAACGCCAACATAATCCATAGGTTTTTCTCGAACTTCTGTCAAATTAGAGCTCTAAGAACGTATAGATGGGACTGTTATGATGTCTTGAATAAAGTACCAATTAAAACTATTTTGCAGATTTCACAGAAGTCTAGAAGCTGATATAACACCATCTTATCGATTGACGTTTTTACCTTTCTTAGTCTTAAAACATAAATTATATTCAGTTAATTACTGTCATTCTAAAGATGATTTGTATGTCAGTCGATTTGAATCACTAACTACTTTAGTTTTGCTACGGATATTTTTTTGAAAAATACAGCAAAGTAAGTAAAAATGTTGCTAGTGTTATCTATAACTTATTTAACTGTTATAAAACATTTGACACTTGCTTTAATGACCTTTCACATCATACAGTTTTGTTTTGCAGTTGTATGGTATATACTAATAACAAATCAATTCATGTGAAATATTCTTTGTTGATCTATAATCACATAATTTTTCATTAAATCAATAAATGAATTTTCATTGAATTATGTTTATACGGAAAAATGATTAAATTGGTGTCTACAATAAACAGCGAACACAATGAATCAAATCATAATGGTTACGTGTAATCACTTTGTGACAGTTCATCAATAATAAAATAAATTCAATAGTTCATCATTCTACTCAACCTTAAAATTATGGATCATATGTATATCACAGACTAGTGAGCAATATTAACAAGATGTATAATTAAATGAAAATACCAAATATTCAATACTCTGTAATCCAAACTATCAAATCTAAAATAAGTTTATTGATACTATTATGCTGATGA